CCAGTTTTTAAAAAAATCTCCAATGCATCCATGGAACGAATTCAAGAAGCCATACTCTACCTGCTATCCATGCCTTTTGAAGTCTTTATTAATTTTACTTTCTTACAGCACTAATTGTCTATGGATCAGGTGTGAAGATTATATTGTTGATAGATATCATATATTTTTGTATGATAATGTGCAATATTTTAAAGATAAATATTTTAAATTGCTCAACTAGGATTGATATAAAGTTCTACTATTGGCAACCTATCAGGAAGGAGATAATTGTGGCATGGAAGAGTCCAGCATACTGTGCAAATATATTTGCACAGTATGCTGGACTCTTCCATACCACAATTATCTCCTGCACTACTTATATCTCATCTACAACTCTGACCTGATTTATATCTTCTACTGATGTATGTTTGCTGATAGAACCATTTCACTGGAAGAGTATTTCTGTGCTGCCTATGTCTGCAAATTAATGGATTGCATTAAAAAAAATCCAATTCTTACTAGCATAGCAGAGCTTCCATTAAATTGTATAGATTATCAGGTGAAAAAAAGCATACATTGATACCCTTATCTGGAAATGATTCTTGTTCAAATGAATGGAACACTAGCTTGTGTAAAGCTAAATATTTTGAACAACTACACTTACATTTACATTCTTCATTGCTAGCTAACTTGTAGAAGAAAAACAAAGTGCCAATTGCATTTTTCTTAAACCAACATTTAAAATGTATAATTATTTGAAGTAAATATAATACATTTGTTATCTCTGTGCATGAAACCTAATGGTTTTTGTAACAGTTATTCTCTAAAATTAATATATTAATTCCAGTGACTTATATTTGAAATTCATTTTCAATGAAATTTTGATGACTTATGTTAAGATTACCTCCTCTCACCATCCAGGGATGGATGAAATGGGATTAATAAAAAGATTTGCTGGTATATATGCATAAGTGGTTTTATAAAGAGATGGAGTATAATCTGGCAATCCACAAGTGAAGGATTGAACTAGGTTGATATTTTGAACTAGGTTGAAGTTACTGAAAAATGGGATTTTCTGTTTGCATAATATATCTGATATAAAAAAATTATGAAGATAAGCTGAACATATATATGAGGAGCCATAGTTTTCATTTCATATGATCCAGCTAATGATCCAGTTAACATTTTAAATCAGTGTAGGCTGCAGCCATAACATTCTTTATCTGAGATTAAGCTTCATTGGATGTTTAAGATTTCACTGCTAGTAGCACTATGAAAACCACTAACTAGGTTCCTAATAAGCACTCCTTATAACTCATGGCATATGATAGCACTGTTTAACATGGTTGAATTATGCCCACATTTTCCAAGGTTGTGGGGAAAAAACAAGGGCAAATTATTAAGATTGGATGTTATCCTTAATTATAGCAGTCACTACAGCTCATAGCTATCTGAAAAGATCAGCTGGGATTAGGACTGTTTAATACTAGCCAACCTAGGGATGAATGCAAGAATAAATTTTAAAATGTAATTAATTAGTTAATTAATTAAATAATACTTTTAATTGAAAGTAATCTCATTAGACCAATTGAGGAAATGACTAATTCTCATTTTAGGAGACAGACTGAAGGGTTAGACTTATATGTCTTGAAGCAATTTTTATTCAGTATAAAACCAACCAATTCCTTAGAAAGGGGAAATCTATGGCATCTAGATGCTCAATGGCTGTGATTCTTATTAGTATTTGGGCTTTATATTTCTGTTTACATCAAACTTTCTGGAATTCACCTTCCAGTTTCTGGGATTTTTTTGAACATATTTTTCTGAATGAAATTGCAATTACTTGATCTACTGTCTAAAACCCTAACTAGTATTATGAATATTAATAAAATCATACATGTACTTCTAGATTATTTATTTAACATTTCTATTATGATTAGATGCCACTACTAAAATTGTAGCACAATCATCTATCAGTTGCACTCCCTTGAAATAATACTGATAAAGATTTTATATTGTTATTACTATATTACTTACTTAAACCAATTAGATCCCCTTTGCTCTCTTGGATTTCCAAGTAATAACAATATAAACAAAATAATAATTATATGGGCAAAATGTTTATTTACAGTCTAAAATTCAAGATTTTTAGAAATAACATTTCTATTTCCCATAAAATAGTTAATATATGCCAACTTTTTAAAAATCATGACAAATTAAGATATAGTATAAGTATTTACATTAAAATGTAATGTAATGTAAAAGCTAATCCTAGGGGTTGATAACCAAAGAAGAACAGTTAGCAACTCTTCTCAGAACCAGGAGATTTCTGTACTATCTTGAAGAAATTTTGCTAAACATAGCCACACAAATACATTTATCGCCTCTTAAATGGAAACTAATTGGAGAAGCAAGTCATAAGTACCAAAGAGAACTATACCAATTTAATCCACCGGTGTGGATTCAGCTGCCAATGACAAATTTTCAGCACCACGGACAGCGCCGTGGTGCCTCTACGATTTTTGCGCCTGCCTATATAGGGGCGAAGGGTGGAGTGATACCCAACCACTTTGAATTGACACTGAAGGCTTCAGTGTCAGGCAATGGGATCTCAATAATCACTATTTCCAGTGAGGAAAAATGTGAATTGCCGCTACCTTAAACATATATTTGGAATCAGAGCTGTGGGTGGAGTAAAAGTTTAGATGCATAGGCTTTGCAAAAATTGTAGAGGCATTGCTTGCATTTAAGAGTTTATTACATGAACTGTTTCAAGTGAGTCTCCATTCACACATTGTGACAGTTTTGCATTGATTTTTCCTTGGCATCTTTTGCATTTATTTGCCAGGACAATATTAAGGAATTGGGCATATTTCATCCAGACGTATCCATTTGCGTGTAAGAATAGCAGGGGCTGAGGCAAATGAAATGACATCAGAAAATAGGTGTTGCGGGGGGGGGGGATTACATTTATTAGGGAGTCTCTTAATGTATCTGATTATTTGGTGCCCTTAATAATATAACTTGTACATGTAATTTGACCAAAAGTCAAAAAGTCACGTCTGTTTTTTTAAAATGACCAAATAAATTGGGTACAATGTGCTTGATACTAAATTCAAATACTTTACTGCAGATTATTTTACACTACAAATCTTCCTCACAGCCTTTTGAGCGAGGTTGCTTCCCTGATGCCACCATCTGCCTTGCGGACCCCACTGAATTCCATGGAATTCCTGCCAAGTAAACTTAAGAACTGCACTTAAATGTCACATTTATCTGTAAACCCGGACAAAAAAGCACAGCTGCTGAGTTCCTATTGCTTGCTTTGCTCAAATAAATTATATGATGCTCCGAATCACAGAGCACGAAATAACAATAGCTGGGTTTCCTTACAGCTGTACTTCCCTGTAGCTGGGAACTACAAACTACCCAATTCCATGCAAGCCCAGAAGGTTGTGTGAATGTGACTGAATGGGCTTCCTATCCACTTCAACAGCAAACCAGTTTAGCTGACAGCCAACAGCACCCTTCCTGTACTGGAGCAGGAGGAGAAGAAGGAGTGATATTCACACAATCAGGGTAAAGCCATTTAAATGTTCTGCATCTGCGCCTAAGCAGTCTGCTGTCGAATTTTCTCTCTACCCTATTTTTTGTTGGGGTGTCTGTGTGTGTGTGTGTGTTTCTAGGCGTCTCTCAGCACACACGGTTCTCAAAGCAGCTAGCATTCAGTTTAAAAAATTAAGCAAAATGGATGTATCAGCCGGAAAAAAAACAACAACAGCAGCGTTACCCCACAACGCAAGAACCGCAAAAGCCATTGTCAAATCAATTGGAGGGCGAAGGTTATTCTTACGTGCCGGTTTGGATTCTGTTTTCCTCCACCAGTCACAGTGGGATCGATCACGTGCGAAAATCTCCCCCAACCTGGTATCTTCGGACGTACTGGATTCCATCCCCCATCATCCCCAGATGGGCTCGACATTGGCGCTGGAGTCCAGCGCGATTGGAAGGCGCTAAACTGAAGGAAGGAGGAGGCATTCCGGAGCCACCTCCCCCAAGGTAGAGAATTCTGTCCCCAGTGAACGTCCCGTTAGTGCTCCCCAGCCCCGAAGCGACTGGGCAACCCCAGCGCCGCGCTCCGAGAAGGCGCGTTTGGGCGTCTGAGTAGATCCTGTCGGGGAAAACTCCGCCTCCTTCGAGAGAGATCTTGCCGGGGCAGGAGCGCTTCGGATCGCTCGCAAGGCGAAGGGAGATGGAGCCGTCGGAGAAGCAGCGGTCTCCGGATCTGGCTCAGAAAAAAGAGGAGCGACACGTTATGCTGAGCCTCACCTTCTCCCTGAGCCCCAGGAGGAAAACAAGCATCTCCAAGACAGTTCAAGTTTTCGAGGTACAGATGTTGAAAGTTGGCCTTATACCAACAGGTTCACACACGGCTTGTTCTAAAGGGAACAGCTGTTAAAGCTTGGGGTTCGGTGCTTTCCAATTTGAAAGGATGGAAGGAAAAAGAAAGGGGGAACCTTCTCCAGTCTGACAGCCTGATAAATGCCAATTCCATTGGGAACGATCGTGGAAGGAAATAGGCTGTGGAAAGCTGGCTTTGAAAGCACCTCTTCATATACTTTTCCTCAACTTCATAGTACAGGATATGTTGGATTTTCTGCTGTGTGGTATTATATCAGTAGGTAACCAGCCCATTCAGAAGGCAAATGTATTAACATATTTCAGAATATATTTCATATTTGGATTTTTCTCAAGAAGACTCAACCATGTTTTTTTGATGTCTCATACACATTCATTCAATACCATTGTTGCTCTTTTATTTATTACATTAAATTTCCATCCAGGATTTCCTCCAAGGAGTTCAAAGCAGCATAGATGCTGTTTCTTCCTTCCCCATCATGTCATCCTATTGACAATCCTGCGGGATGACTTTCATA